TTTCTGAAGATGGATGTGTTTGCACGAGTTTAGTTTTTTCCCTAATATGGAGAACAATTGCAGGAACCATTAACAAAGAGCTTTCTGCTCTAGATTGTTTTTGCAATTTTTTGCAATAGGGCAGCATTTCCATCAAGCAATGTTGGTGAGCACCTCTTGATACGTATGTGAATCACTTAGGGTAACAGCAGCTGCTCTTTGATTCCTTGTTTCAAACAGTAATGGCTTTAAGGATTTGATGAACTTCTTATACTAAGATATTTCTGTTTACCTTAACTGACACTCCCAATTATCCCCAATGACTAAGTAGTGTTTTGTGGCTCGAACACTCCAGGCCTGATTCTGTTTCACTGCAGCGAGGGATTATTATTCTCAGGAATTTTCCAGTTAAAAAGACTAGGGGGAAAAAAATGCCACTTTGTCAAAAACAAACTGTACAAAAAACATGCCATCTTTAAAGAATTCTGACCAAACAGTTCTGGTTTCCTGCTAGTTCATCTAAAACTGTACTCTGAAATATAAGCAGCCAGGGTCCACAGCTCCACGGCACCTCTGCCATATAGGCTGCCACAAAGCTGGAGAACTCTTGGCCTCCGCGTCCCTTCCTGTGGAAGTGGGAGTCTGCAAGCCCCAGGTGCTGGTGTATCTGCCAGCTTCAGCCCTGCAGCAGAGCCTGGGTGTGTTGAAATCCAGGTTGTGCTGAGAGGACTATAGATTAGGAACCACGGCTAAGGCAGGAAGCCTGGAGGAGCTGGGGCTGCCAAGCTCAGTTTCTTTTAGTCGCTTACATCATGGGTGTCTCAAATATTTCAAAACACTTGGGAAAATTATTTCATTGGGAAATTTTCTAAACTTAGTCCAAACACAATTATTTTTTCTTCACTCACAATTTCAGAATTTCTTGAGTTTGATCACATCTGTGACTGATGAACTGGGAAATATTTGTCTTTTTTATGAATATACTGAATACTTCTGTGTCTCTGCGGATAATAGGTTATTTGCTATGGATTTGGATCAAGAACACTGGCTAAAGGAAATAGTGAAACAGTAAGACTCAGATCAATGTCCTTGAGGAAACACAAGAAACCAGGGAATAGGACAGAGAATTAACAAATTGGCAAAAGGGTACGTGTGAAAGATGATAGGTAAACAAGGAGCCAGAGACACAGAAATTGCCAAAACTAGAGTTGGAATTTACTACAGTAGCTTATATGTATATAAGTTTGTAAGAAAGAGTCAGCGTGGGGACAAAGAAAGATACACTTTTATAGGCTTGCTTGGGTTTTTTTGCTTTTGGGGTTTGTTTGGTTTTTTGTTTTTTTTTTTTTTTTTTTACCTTTCCCACTGTATACCTTTGGCTGTATGAAAAAACCACCCCAATATCTTGTTTCAAGGAGCAGAGTCACTTTAACCACCTTTCTAGTCATGGATTTCCAAAATGAGAGAGCATACAGATGCCAGACAGAGTTGGCCCAGCCATGCTACTTTGGGAGGGAGGCTGGAGATCCCGTTCCCAGGTATCTGATCTGCCTGGCTACATTGTCTGACCCCGGCTGCGACAGTGTACGGGACATCAGATCTGATGCTTGAGCAGGATTTGTTCTTTTAGGGGGATTATGAACAGTCTAAAATACAGCTTTGTCTCTAATGATGATGACAGCTTTGCCATTGACTGATTAGGAAGTAAAGTCAGGCTCCATGTGAAGTTTTCAAATTCCAAATGTCTGAGTGAGTTTCTTTGCTCTTAACTTCCTACCCAGTTTCCAGACTATTGGTCTACCGAGCGTTTTTCACAAACTCAGTGTATGCAAAGCACCAAAACACAAGGTGATATAAAACATAGGAACGTTAGTTTCTGTATATGGAGGACGTGCTTGCTACTGAAATACCATCTGCAATTAAGCGTTGGACGTTGTGTACTTGGGACAATGTAATACCTGTGCGTGGCTGCTGCTCCATGGACTACATCAGGCTTTTGAAGAACTGGGTGAATACTGCCACCTATTGATTGACGAAATGAAAATGAATGTCTCCCAGCCACCCTGAGATTTTATACAGAACAGCTTTGTGAACTTCTCATCCTCCGCATGAGAACAGCCTCCCTCATCCCAGAAATGTTACCGGAGTCCAGAAGAAACAAACAGAATTTGCTAAATGAAATTAATGGCCAATACAATGTGCTGCTTGGCTGCTAAAAATATCTGTGGTGTATAAAGCTGAGAACAATATATGGTAAACATTTTGGTAAATGTGTCAGTTAATCAGCCAACTTGGGTGGCCTCTTTAAACAAAATGTACTGCTAAATGTGCATTTTCATGAAAATGTGCAGCTTTAGCAACAGTAGTAATAATAGTAGCTTATGATGTGTACTGCAGGCAGGTAAACTTTTAGAGTGATCAAACATGGAATAAAAATCTGTCACAATAGGTTAAGTAGTATAAGTACAGCAAACAAAATATTCTATTCAACTAATAAGTATGAAATATAGGCAAGTGAAGTAATAAATGGCTGACATCTTCGAGACATCTAAATGGTATCATCAAAGACTAAGAACATGCAGGTTTCTGTACAAGATCAGACTAACGGATCTGCTTGCATGTGTGTTATCATAAACCCAGGTTTTTGTTTTCTGTAGGTCTTTTAGTCTTCTCCATTTCCAGAACTAGATGTGTGTGCCTCTCATGCTTATTTACACACATTCATTGATCTTTTTTAGTAATTAATGTCATGTTTTTATCATTTGGTAAATTTATGATTACTTCTCTTACCTTACTGAGTGTTGTTTTATGTCTTCTGGCTTTTGAACAGCTTAATAATGAACTTAAATTCATATGACAGGAAGATTAGAAATATGTTTACTTGATATAAGCAAACTAATTGTCTTTCATAGAACTAGCTTGGGCAAGAAAACATCTTGTCTTTTACTATTCTACTAAATAATAGAGAAGTACTAAGCATTATAAAAATTGAAATGGCAACTGCAAAAGGTCTACTTTCCACTAAGCTGAAGGGAGAAAGCGAAGGAGAGAAGGGGGAGTATTGACCCACAATGAGAAATTGCTAGAAAATATTTTAGAATAGATTAGTTTCAGTAAACCCACTTTAGCTTTTTCCCCCGAAAACAGCTGGAAATTGAGAATTCCCTCACATGTGAGTTCCACAGATGGGGTCTATACAGACCAAAAAAACTTAATCAGGTATTTTGACTCAGAAGAATTATTCCTATTCAGCACAGCACTGAAAATGGAATTTTTATGCTTACATTTAATTTTAACTAATTTAGACATTTCAGATTTTCAGCATGCTTTTCTCCAGAAAGTATCCCAGTGTTAGAGAGGTATTCGGTGGTTTTCGAAAGATTTCCAATCTTCCTCCTGTTGGCAAGGAGCAGTGACCTCAGTCAGCTGTCCTGCAGCCTTCTGACTAATGATCCTTAGAAGCAGCAGAACAAAAGAGGGAATCCTATACACATATAGCCTGTGATTTTCATGGTATAGGAGAAGGAATGTTGTGCATAGCATATTGTCATAGCACTTCGTAATTTTCTGCTGCAGCAAAACATGCAAGTAGTTGCATTTGATATTCTTCTTATGTCTTAGAAATACGTACATATGCATGTTTACATACACACACACATAATATGCATGCATATGTGCACATAGAAAATATCTTTTAAAATTGTTTGGTCTGTATCCAGATTGATTTTAAAAGTATAGAGTAAGTTCAAGTCTCATGATATATAAATGTCATGAGGACTAGCTTTTAGCTTCAATTATTTTGGCAAAAGGACACTATTTGGTATGAGGTCCAGTACCGTTAACTGAGTTTTGAAGAGTGGGAGAATCAGACTGGTCACCAGCTTTTGGGAGGTTTCCAAAATTTTCCAAAAATCAAGCATCATGTCTGAATGAAGCCAGTGACATTTTTTCAGCAGATTGTAATAGTAGCTCTGGTATCCCTTTAAAAACAATAAAAAATACCTTTTCTGTAGATATTAATGATCATTGGCTATGACAGACCCAGGAATTAGTGTGTTTTAATTTTTTCTGTCTATTGCCAGATGTTACATAGGAGGGTTCTGGTTACATGAATTTAACCTAGTGGACTGTCCAGGAAGGATAACAATTTTCTAGATTGTTGTTTATCTTTGTTTATCGCCTACACTATTTTTAGAATTCTAAGGCTCTGTATGGTTACTCCATATTCTGACTTTGTAACATCTTTGTGGGTTTCTATGGGATCCAGCATTTGCATTTTTTGCCCTATAGTAAAAAAAATTTTATTTTGAAATATCACGGTTCTACTATTTTGGAAGCTCTTAATGCAGACATTACAGGATCTGTTTTAGCTGAAACGTAGGCATCAATAAAATATGTTTTTTGTATTCATTTAATAGTCTTTTTTAAGCGTAACCTGTTCAGGCTGGGAGCTTTCAAATGATCTTGCAGATGTCCCATAGCTATGGATATGGTTGCTGCTTTTGTTGCTATGATTGCAGACAGCTGTAGTGATAGCTTGCTTGAAGAAAGAAGAAACAATACATCACATGCAACATGCATTACTGGACTGAGTGTAGGACTGTGATTCTTTTTTTTCCCCTTTTATTTGTTTAACATAAAACTAACTGCTTTAAGATGGCTGCATTAATGTCTTTTTGCTCATACTTCATGGCAAATTAATTACAATCGCAGTTTTGTTTACTCTGGTGTAATTTTTTTTTTTTTTACTTGCACGCTGTGCTGCTGATCAATTTTAAGGGATACAACAAGCTAAAAGCATACAGAAGTCACGGCATCTTTGACTACAGAGGCGCGAGCTTTATATATTAGTCATTCCTATAGCTGCACAGGTAACTAGTATAGAGTTAAGGCACCAAACATTTTACCTGTGATACAACACTATTTGCTTTAAATACTGTTTTGCTCTGAGATCTTATCAGTGATCTTGGACTTCAGTAATTGCTAGTAATAAGCTTTTTCATATCTGATCATTCATGCAGTATAAGGAAGAGGTTTACTCATTCTGCCCAGAGGCTGAACCAGCAGAGACAGCAAAGCCAATGTGATTCATTGAATGAAGACAGTGGACAATTACCAGCAACTTGTTCACGTTTTGCCTTCGATAGTCTAAGCTGGTAAGTCTAATTTAACTCTTTAATGCATATATTCTTAGTTATTAGTTTCAAGTATAAAATTGTTCCGTAAACATATTTAAAAACACATGTAGTGTTGAGTGGCTTCTTAGCTATTGTGTTTTCCTAAAATCTGAAGTTAATGCTTCTACAGCTATGCTGTGTCCTGTTAGTGCACCTGTCTATACAGTGCAGCATTTATGTACCACATACAACTGACAGTGATCTATAATTTATATTTTTTTCTCTCTCTCTGCAATATATTTGTAAAAGGATGTGAATATTAGGTCAGTATTTGCCAGTCAAAAAAAAAAAAAAGCTTTTATAAGGGTAACTAATTTATATTCATTTGTATTTGAATTTGACTTTTAAAGCACCCAGCTGTTGGGGAACAAAACGTTTACTTCAGCACTTAGAAGTGCAAGTAGAAATCCGATCACAAAGATTAAGCTACAGCATGTGCAGCATGAAATGTGTGTTGGAAGACTTCGATTGCTGGTTTGGTACATGTTATAGCAGGGTGATAGTCACGCAAACGAGACTGCTTTGGTGGTTATTTCCAGGGTAGTGCAGTAACTGTTTCCCCAGAGATTCAGGTTATTTGTTATTGGAACTACTGTCATAAGACTTTTGTTTTGTGATTTTTAATTCTTGGAAATGCAAACTACTGTTAATTATGACTAGTTATAAGGGGAGCTGCTGTTGTTATTCTATCTAGTTCTGCCTTTTACTGAGAAACGTTGTAACGTACTGCTTGTTGTAGTTCTTGACTTACTGTGAGAATGCTAGTTAGCCAGATCACACAGGGCTACTTCGAACCGTATTGAGATGTCCTTATCATTTCATTCTGACCTATGCCAGGTATGTGCAGAGGCTTCCATAGGTGAAAATCTCAAATGGGTCAGTTCTGGACATCTCCTCTTTCTAAACTGTTAGTCTTCGATATACTGTAACAATTTTAGTTGTGACAATGATATATCCTCAGCTTAAGTGCATTTCAGTTGGGGGGTTTGTTATTTCAATCAAGACAATGTACATTTCAGGGTTTCACCTGATCGGTGAGGTGAGGACATGGTTGTAAAAAACCCAAAACAAATTACTTTAAAAAGGAGCCTAAAACTGCTCTTACAAAATAGTTCATGTCTGTAAAAATAAAATGCCAACATCCAATAAAAACCAGTAAGTTTTCAATCGCAGAATCATGTGAATTGAGCTGTCTTTGTTTTCCTCATTTCTTATTATACATTTTACCCATGATTTTGCTCAATCTTATTTCCATTGCTCTCCCGGGAGTCATTTCTATAGCCTAATAAGATCACACTTCCAGAAAATTTTCCAGAATATGCAACTTACCTTTACCTTTTTTCATTTCATACCTTGTATGTGGCTAGAAAAGATGTTAAGTACGATAATCTTCAGTAGCATTTTGCATCTTACTGTTTCAGTACGCTGGTAAAAAATGCAGTTCATTTGCATTATATTATTCCAGCTATTGCTTTATTGTTCTGTGTTTATTCCATGCACTATTTCAGGATATTGATGGTTAGTATACAGGAAACATTTATATGTTTCAAGTCATTTGTGATGCACTGATTCTGTGTGGATAGCAAAGATGCCATCTGTTTTATTGTTGAATAGCTGCAATTTTTACAGTGTTTACTTAGCTTCTCTATAGACTCACCTGCTCTTGACTTAAGAGAAACTTTCATGAGATTATAAAAGATTCTGTCCTCTTCTTACATTAATGTTACTTTTGGGGATTTGCTCTGGCTATAGACTGAAAAAGCTTCCATGCGTAATATGGACACCCTATTGTTACTGTCCTTGGAAGTAATTGTTTAGACAGTTAGTAACACACTATTGTTTTCTTCTGAATGTTTCCTGCTTCTGAATGAATCCTGTTTCATTGACCAAATCAAGGTGGGAAGGACTCCAGCAACCCCTAGGAATTGTAATAGCTGGAGTCAAACTATGTTTAGATACAGTCAATATGAACAGTAACCCATGCCATGGGGAACAGGCCTGAGCAGTCTTGGTATTAAACTGCTGATAGGCTTTTCTGGATTGGAGACATAGGCTAGCAGCCCAATGATACCTAAATTTGCTTTGGTCCTGAGACTACATCAGCATCCTAGAGTGCTGTAACATATTTAGAGAACCTAGTTTCTTTTACAGTGTACATATTGAAATAGAGAGAACTGACCTGCAAACTGTCTGAGTTTTGAATGTGTTTTGGGAGATGTGTGACTAGAACACCTCTACCAAACCCTCAGATTTCCTGGAAAACTGTTCAAAAACTGAGAGGTGCTTCCCCTTTACTTGCTCAGGTTAATATCTCCTCATAAAGGAAAATGTTGCTGTCAAGCTGTTCTCTGTAAGAAGTTGGGATTCTGAAAATAGCTTCTCTACTTCTCAAGAAAAGCTTGAATTTTATGACTTTCAAGACATTCTGTGAAAGACATCTGGGCAACTAAGTTTAAGGAGATGGGTACAAATACACTTCCTGCATTAGTGAAGTCTGGAGAAGAGATTGGATTTAGGAGTCAGGCTGGCAAAATTCCTTTTTCAGTAATCATTTTAATCCTCAAGAGTACTGTCACAATACTAATTCTATGAACTAGAAGCACTACAGCTTCTATAAGCATGACTTTAAATATAAAAAAAGGCCTCTTCACCTTAACACTAAAAATCTCCAGCCAAGATCAGCTCTCCTTCAATGGCTGTCCTCTCCACAGATAACTTAGGGACTTGAAGTCAACAAGCAGGTAGTTTGGTCTAGCGAGATAGAGGGAGGACTTTTTATCAGCCTAGGGAGGACTGATAAATGCATAAGCCATGTTAATAACAGGTATTCTTGTTTGGTTTTAATAATACCACAATAGGTATGAGAAGTCCTACTAAGTAGATATGCCTAATTTATTTAATGTAAACTCACTAAATGTTTGCACAGCTTCTCAGTAAGTTTCCATATTGGTATGCAGGCCTAATGAAGCTTGGAATCTCTCCATAATGTAATATTGTGCCACTTAGAGGTTCTGAGTCTGTTGCTTTTCATATGAAAAAATACAATCCCAAAGCAAACACAGTGGAATATGCTGAGCTACCTTTGAATTAAGTATTGGATAGGTCTATTCCTCTTTTTTGTCCTCGTCTTGATGGTGTTTAGGTTTGTGTAATAAATGCAAATTGTTCTCTCTCTCATGAGTTTACTACTAACTGTGTGGTATTTGGTGTTCAATGACTGTACTCTTGGAATCAAATGATTTGGGGAAATTGAAACTTCCTTTACAAACATGCCTATGACATTTATTGGCCTATATTTATCCACAATTTGGGACTGATTCTTGACCCATACTGTATTGATGAAAGGAAGAAATTCTTGAAAATGGAGGTAAGAGGAGAAGTTTATGTGGGATAATCTGTAGCTCTATATACTAATAAAAACTGTGGAAGTGTTACTCTAAGTAAGTGAGAATTAAATTATTATTATTATATTATATTTGGTAAATTGCTGAGTTTCTTTAAAATACTAATAAAATGGAACAGTGGAAGATGGGTAATCATCTTTGGGGGTAATCGGCTATTTCTTAAGCTTATTTTTAGTAAATATCTGAAAATAAACTGAACTATTGAAGCTATGCTAAACAGAGACAGATGTGAATGAAATCTTTTGACCATCTTAAAAGGAATTTTATTTCATGTTTATACTCCCAAATGGTTCCACAGATGCATCTGTAAAACAAAAGGCTGTCTTCTAAGTTTGTCCAATATTAAAACTCAACACTTACCAGCAACTTCCATACCGTAAAGCCTAATCTACACTGATTCCAGCACATGGTTCCAAATAATTCTGGCATGTCTGGAACCTTTGTGAGTTGGCATTGGTGATCATAATTCTAGTGTTATGTTCTAGTTTGACATTAACAAGCAACTTTTCGTGACAGAGACTGATTAAACATATTTTGCTATGTTTCTTGGTTTCCACTGAGCCTTCCTATCTAGTCTATGAAAGCTTGCTGTTCGGGGCAGAGAATAAAATGCTTCATTTGAAGAGACAGTGATTTCAGTTAGTCCTTGTAGGCACTGCTGAAATGCATGTATAATTGAAAAGCAGGATGAATTGCTTGTGTGAGCCTCACTGCCTTTTTTCCATAAGCTTGGAGAAAAGCAGTCCAAAATCATTGTAGTATTGTCGCTCCCTGAATCCCAGGAAGCTTGTTTCTTATCATATTCACTCTTGCACATTAGTTTCAGGGATGCATCTTAAATAATTCCCTTCTTCTGATTGCACACACTGCTGTTCTAATTTAACAAAGTCTTCTCATCACATATGACAATTATGTTGACTCTGTCTCTCTTCATTCAGAGACTTGGTCTCTCTTCAGTACCCCATGAGCTTGGAGAATATGTGAGATTACTTGTAATGAGATACTCTTGTGCTCAGGATGTCTGCTTCACCACAATTTACAAATGAGAAAGGAATATGTAGATGGCTTATGAGATCTGGGTGGTGTCTTTAATCTTAGGGACCAATTCATGCCAACAAGCAGCCTCAACAGCAGGGCGAGTGTTCAGTAAAGAATGTTTTTCTGATTGTAAATAGTTATTAGAGTCTGGTCCTGCAGTCTGATTTGCTTAGATGCAGGCTGAGACCAGGAGAACAGAAAGTTACAGGATTTGTATCATACTACAAAGAATCTAAAGCTTATTTCCAGGAAAAGATAGTCCAAAAGGGTAGCCAGATTTACTATTACAACTGTGAGGTCTTCTAGAGAGACATTCTGTCTTATAAATGTGTACACGCTCTTGGCAGGGTAAAAGGAAACGTGAAGAAATTGTGCATTTTCATCACCTCTTCACTTACAGAGATCCCTGGGGATAGTTTCCTATGCTTGCAGTTGGGTCAAATCTGATTCTTAGTTTCCCTTCAGAAAGGCAAAACTATTCCCACATAAAGTATTTCCAGAGAGTTAAATATTAATTCAATTTTCCTAATATGGAAAAATGACTGTAATCATAGAGCATAGAAAATATTGTTTAATTATGACATAATATGGAAATCTTATTAGGCTAGGCAACCTTAGAGAGAGGAGGCAGTCCCTCTTGGAAGAGTTTGTAGTCTAAATGGACACGGCAAACACAGAGCAGGATAAAATTATACAATATATAGAGAAAACCAGTGCCTGTCCACCAGCTGAGGGAAGAAACTACTCAGTATGAAACTGTAAACAGCCACAGTTCAAATCACAGATTATTTTAACTGTAAAACATAGAGTGTAAGGTCTTTGTTTGTAATTATCTGGACACTAGTTGGCCATAGGTAGTTTAAACTAAAAATGCACATATGCCTCATTATGCCTACAACAGAGACTAAATAGGTTTTCTGTGTTTAAACTGTTATTTGCTAAAATATAATGCCTTAGGAGTCTTGGTCACAGAGCAGGTTCCTTCCCTGCCAAATGCTCTTCAACACTCTAACAAAAAAACATTCTCTGTAGCAATGGACTTTCATTTGGATGATAACATGTCAGCATTTGATGCAAATTAAATTTAAGTTCATGCATTATTTCTGTAGTAGCTTGTGATGGGTTCAGAGATGAAAAAGTGTTTTGAATCCAGCCATACTTCCTGAGTGAGAAATACTGCTTTGAGTCTCTAGAGAAAAAGAATCCACCCACCCAACTGAAAATGTCACATGCTTTTGGAGCACACAATTTGCTAGCAGATAATAATGTGGGAAATAAAGCACATTGTCTTGCCACATCTGTGCTTGTGTCACTTAAGTCACTTGACCAGTTAAAAAATTCAGTCCTGCATAGTGTTCTGTAATCAGTTAGATTTTATTTCCTCTCAATTGCTTCAGTTTTGTTTTAAGAAACCAATGTACTGACAAAATGCAGATTATGTACATGTTATCCAAATTGTATAGTAACATTTACATTTGGGTGTCATTTTTTCTGACATCGGTATTACCAGAACTCGCTTTGTCAAAAGGCCATTTCCCTCATTAAGTGAACCCCCTTCTCCTTATACAAATTACCAAATAGTTCTGAAGTGGTTTGTTTTATTTTTCCAACCTTAATTCTCCCTCCCCATAGATATCCATGGGACTAATTCCATAAAGAGCAATTTGCCATTGAAAATGCCCAAAAATGTGCGTCTGAGTGTTCAAAAACTGTGTGTGTGAAACTGATTTTTGCCATAGAAGTCTTGCAATGATACAGTTCTGACCAATGATGTTAGCGCAGCAAAACCTTGTTAAACAGCTACTGTTTTTCTTCTAGAAACTACAAGCTGAAAATGACACAGCAAATGTATAACTTAAGTCTCCTCCAGACTAAAAAGAACAGCGTGCCATCCTCTCCAAATGCTGCAAAGCGGTTATATCGGAACCTGTCAGAGAAGCTTAAGGGGAGTCACACATCCTTTGACGAAGCATATTTCAGAGCTCGATCTGACCGGCTCAGTCTCCGTAAGACCTCAATGGTAATTACTTGATATTTATCAAATTGCCAATTTACTGTCCTATCAATCTCCTTAATAGGTTTCCATTTAATCTGTACAATTTTCATCATCTCATTTTCTCTGTTCCCTGACCAGTGCTGTATGTTCCTCCCAGACTTACCATTTATGATCCTGTGTCAAAATAAAGTCTGACCTTCTTGAAGGCTAAAGAAAAGCTACCTTACTCAAGTGATGATGCTTTATTTTAGGAGTAAGGTCTTAACTTGACATTAATGTGACAAAATGTGGATTAAATATATACACACAAGTGTTTCTCTTACAAGAAATGAAGAAAAAGTATTTTGAGAAAACTGAAGATTACTTTACTAGAAGTTCCCATTTTTCCAAACAACAGAGCAAGTGAACTTACATGCTGTGACAGATAAATGCAAGGTTGTTCACAGACTGTGGTGATGGTCACTAGATAAGACCATGGAAAAAGGAGATCACACATGAAACAGTCTGGCCTGGGTACCCTACCCTAGTCACAGAACACAGCCAGGTACTCTGGTGCCAGTACAGGAAAGCATATAAGCACCTGCTGGACTTAACACTCACAAGTGCTCCTATTTATACCAGTGCTGATGAAGTTACACAACCTCCAGCACATACATTTTGAAGAATGGACTGAAATAATAGCACAGTGTAAGTTCAGTGCACAACAGAATCTTTTATATTTGCTGGAGGAAGATGAACTTGCTGTTGATATTGCCAAAACAAAATAAATTTTCCTTTTCCATAAGTAGGAAGAACAGACACATCCTTCAACTTCT